TGCTGCCTGCGGCCAGCCCCGGCCTCCCGTGCCCGCCCAGCCCTGAGGCCCGGCCAGCAGCCGCTGGCGCCGGGCTCTGGAGGGGGCAGAGGGCCGGCTGCTGCCCGGGGAGCCGCGGTGCCGCCCCTGCCCGCAGCCCCAGTGTGGGGCTCCATTGGCACCCGGCTCGGGGCCACGGGAGCCTGGAGAAGAAGCCGTGTGGCCGGCTGCGGCACTGGGCAGGGGCACAGCTGCCAGCCCCACAAACCGAGCGCCGGAGACAGGGGGCTTCTCCAGGCTGAGGCTGGGCCTTCCAAGCCGTCCTTACCAGGCACTCGGTGATCATCCACAGCTTCTTCTTCTTCACTGGTCTTTCCAGATCTCTCCTCTTCAGGAACTCAGCCGCACAAAGCAGCGTTGCCCAAGAAGCCTGGAGAGCAGCAGAGACCCGCAGATGGCCCCACAAGCCAGGACACAGGACCCGCATTTGTGTGCCAAGGCCTGGAGGAGGCTGCAGCCGGCAAGGTGCCAGGGCAGGAGGCAGCCGAGCCCCGTGCCCGGGTGACAGCAGCAGCCCGGGAGTCCTCACCTCCGCCACCTGCTGGTTCTCGTCATGGCAGTGGAAGAAGAGTGGCAGCAGGCTCTGGTGCACGTGTGACTTCAGGGCCTTTTTTTCCTTTTCCGTTAGAACAGTCATCAGCGATCGGAAGAATAATATGGACACCAGCTGCACCTGGCTATTATCCTATATGAAAGGAAGGAAAAAACACCTCAGCCCTGTCTGCATGGGGCTCAGCAGGGCGCAGGTGGGCAAATCCCCAGGGCACCAAGTGTCTGGGCAGCACCCAGTGGCCTCGGCTGGGGGCACAGAGTCTTACATGGTCAAAGAGTGGCAGGAGTGCCTCAGCCAGCTGCAGAGCCATGTGGCTGGGTATCAGCATGTCCTTGTCCAAAACTATAAAGCTGAGCACCATGATTGCCTTCCTAACTATCTCTCCATCTGCATCCCACAGGAGCTCCACAAGACTTTCAGTCAGGCTCTGCATTTTTTCAGCCTGTGTGGAAGACAAGTCTGTGAAACGCCACCCTGCTGCCACAGGGCCAAGAGGCCAAAGGCCTGTCCCAAAGCACTCAGGCAGCTGAAGCAGGAGGCAGGAGAGCTGGGAGCAGCTGCCTCGGTGCCCGAAGCCCAGCCGAGCCCAAGTGACTGCGTTCCCCAGCACTGCTTCAGCCACTGCCCACTTCTCACCATCGAGGGATCATCAATCAACTTGAAAAGGGCCCTGAGTGCCAGGTGACGCTTGTCCCTGCTCTCGCTACTCAGGTGCCTTGAGAAGATTTCCAGGACTCTGTTAGCACTGCGTTCGCTCAAGTCCAGGTAGTCCAGGATCTGAAAGGCACAGGGCAGTGACAGGGGAGCCAGCTGGCAGGAGCCCAGAACCAACACAGGGCATGGGCACCATCCCAGGCAGCTGCAGCTGTGAGGGGGCAGAGAGGTGGCAGGCAGCTCTGCAGGGAGGCAGTTTTGGCCATGGGGCTCACCTCCACAAGGAATGCCAGGGCAGGCAGATCCCAGCGTGCCTCCTGTGTGCTGAGCAGCTGGAGCAGGTAGGGAACAATGCGGGAACACAAGGGGATAGAGGCAGACGACATCTCCCTGCCAGGGTGAAAAAGTAGCCAAGACTGTGAGCCAGGGGGACAAACATCTCCCAGGCCTGATTCACAGAGCTCTGATCTTTGACCACTGTCCTGCAAGGGGACCTGGGCCCTTGGGGAGGTGACTCCTTGTGGGCACCCGCCTCTCCCAGCCTTTTCCAGTCTCCTTAGCTGTCCCTTGGTGACGAGGCCCTCTGGCCCACAACAGTGGGGACTGTGTTGGGCAACCTCAGCACGGGGCACAAATGCCAGAGGCAGTGGGGAGAAGGGGGTCTCACCTGGCCAGCAGACCCACGGCATAGTGGTGGGTGTCAGCACTGAGCAGCTTGTCCCAGCCACGCTTGTGTTCCATTTCCACCACCACTTCCTCACGATGCATTTGGCAGAGCAGGGACTTCAGGGCCTGCACTGCAAAGCTGTGTGCACAGCAAAGCCCAGGTCACGCTGGGAGCACTGGCTCCTGCCATGGGGACATGGCAGGGACAGGAGGAGTGGGATAGAGCACCTGTTGGGGCTGATGGCAAGGCCGTGTTGCTCCTGGCATCCCTTCCAGAAGGCATTGAGATCCTCTGGCATCTCCAAAGTGCTGAAGAACACTTGGAAGAGCAGATGCACAAAGAGGCGGGGGAAATGCACTGTCACTACATGTGGGACGCAGGGCATCTGAAGGATCTTCCACATCAGCACAGTTGCCTGCAGAGGACAGAGAACCCAGAGACAGTGCTCAGTGCCGAGGTGTCCGGGTGTCAGGGCCTGAGTGTGGCAGGGAGAGGTCAGGGGAAACCCTTGGGGAGCATCAGGCCTGGTGCCCCTGAAGCTGCCCCTAGGCCAGGTTTCAGCCTGGTGCCTGAGGCAGGGAGATGCAGTGGGGGAAGGAGGAAACAGAGCTGCTGAAGACACGGCTGGCCATGGGCTGAGCAAAGGCCAGTTGCAGAAACTCACAGCCAGGGCAAAGACACCCGTGTTGTCCCCATCAGAGGTGCACGTGCTGTGCTCTGGCCAGTTCCCCAGCACATCGAGGACTATCAGGTATGCCTGCTCCGCTGTCCTGGGCGAGCACAAGATCGTCTTCCACATGGTCATAGCAGCTCTGTGGGGCGACAGCTCTGTCTCACGGGGGTCTCAGACACATCCCCGTGGCCTGGGCAGCAATGGGGAGCTGAGCTGGCTGCCAGCTCTGCCTCTGCCTGCTGCCCCTCGCCAGCAGCAGCACCCAGGCAGCCCAGCCCTGCGGGGACAGGGCCCAGAGGGGCCATGGCATGGCAGCAGGCTCAGGGGCCGATGGAGCAGGGCTGGGAAAGGTCCCAGGTAGACAGGGCCCTGGAAGTCTCTGTTGGTCAGACACCTGGGCAGGGCTGTGCAGGCTGATGGGCTGAGGAGCCCTGAGCCCTCTGGGCACGTGGGCCCCGTACCTGTCACACGTTGGGGCCACACGCAGGAGAGCAATGACCACGTCAGTGGGCTGTGCCTCGCTCAGATCCAGCAGGGTCCTGTTCAGCCTGTGCTCAGAGAACTGATTGGCCATGAGCCACTGGTGGATGTACCTCACCATGGCAGGCACCTGGAGAAAGCACAAGGGGAGACTTGGAAAGCTGCCAGAGGGAGTCAGGAATGTCCCCAGCTTCCCCAGAGAAGTGCTTCCCTTCTCACCACGCTGCAATGGCCTCAAAGGCTTAGAGTGATCAGCAGGTGTGGCTTGGGAGGCCAAGTGATCCCTGGAGGATCAAACCCTGGCCACAGGCTGCTTACTTGCTTTTGACTGTAAAAACCCTCCTCTACAAGCATATCCAGCAGGGCAGCAGTGGCCTTGGTGTTGAAGATGTACGAATAAGGTCTGACCCCAGTGGCCATGGCACTGGTCCCTTCCTCCCGAATTCTCTTGATGAAGTTGCAAACCAGCTGTAGGAGAAGGGCAGGAGACAGAAACATCGGGGATGTTCTATGGAGTGCTCCAAGCGTGGTGCTGGGCTGAGCAGTGCCAGCAGGCCCAGCCCAGGTGGGGATGGCTGCAGGTACCTGCGCTGTTCTGTGGAAGAGGCCACGGGCAGGCTCCTGCTCTTGTGTCTGGTCCATGGCTGCATCTGGCAAAGAGCAGCCAGAGCTGAGGGGCTGCGGGAGAGGCTGGAGAACACAGCCCAGCCCTGCACTCCCCAGGCAGGGACAGCCCTGGGGTGGCTCAGGGGATGGAGCACAGCCACTGCTGGGGGGGCAGCACCAGTCCCTCTTTTATCCTGTCCATGGGTGTGTCTCCACAGGACAGGGTGGGATGGGATGAGATGGGATGCAATGGGATGGGATGGGGCCAAGATGACTGCAGGCACCAGCCCTGTGGCCCAGCTCTGCCACTCACCCTCCTCCAGCGGCTGGAACTGCTGCACCTCTTCAGTCTCTGGTGCTGGGGCAGCTCCAGGGCCTTCTTCCTCTTCCTCCTCCTCCACCCAGGCCAGCTTGGGCACTCTTGGGGGTCGCTGCTCCATATCTTCTTCAGGACTCTCCCATCCTTTCCATAGGAACAGCACCAGGGGATGGCATGGCATGTAATGGGATGGGGCCAAGCTGGACACAGGCACTAGCCCTAAGGCCGAGCTCTGCAACTCACCCTCCTGTGGTGCCTGGAACTCCTGCACCTCTTCAATCTCCTGTGCTGGGACAGCTCCAGGGCCTTCTCCTTCCTCCTCCTCAACCCAGGCCAGCTTGGGCACTCTTGGGGGTCGCTGCTCCATGGCAGGGACTGGATTTATGGCTACTTGCAGGAGAGATGGCTTGGGAAAGCTCAAGTCAGCAAGTCCTGCAGTCGTGCCTGGAAGGCACCTGCAAGACTGAAGTCCTGGCAAGACAGCAGGACAACAAGTCCTGCACTTGGGTCTTGAGGGCTCCTGCCACAAGGACAGGAGGCTCCTCGTCAAGGATTGTGGTCTGGTTTCAAGGGCAGTGACTGCAGGGATGGGCGATGCCTCAGAAAAGCTCCGGGTCACCAAGTCCCACAATCTGCCCTCAAGAGAACCTTAAGAAAAGAAGCCTTGGCAAGGCCACAGGTCAGCAAGTCCTGTGGTCTGGCCTCGAGGTCACCTGTAGGAATAACGGCTCAGAAAAGCTCCGGGTCCGACACAAACGAGTGCGCTGTGCGGGGGCTCCTCACAGCACCGCTCTGCCGCGTCCTGTCCCGTCGCGTGCACTGGGCACTGTGGCGTGGCCCTGTCACCGCCAGCTCCTATGTCACCACATGTCACAAAGGGCTCTCTGACACCCTGTCCATTTCCATCCCATGGTGACCATATGTCACAAAGGGCCCTTGCACACACTGCCACCTGCCCTTGGGCTGCCCCCATCCCCCCCAAAGTGGCCCAGGTTGGAAGGAATCCCTTGCCCAAAGTGTCTTAGACAGCCCAACAGGATCTTTAGGAACGCCTCAAACCCTCAGCAAACGCTGCCCTGCTCTGCAGGCTCAGGGCAGCAGAAGGAGCCCCCAGGGCTGCCGACGCAGCCACAGCAGGAAGGGCACGGGGCCTTGCACAGAATCTGCACAGGGGCCTGGCAGCACTGAAATCAGCAGGTGTGGCAGAGTCCCCCACTGAGGCAGACCTGCCACCCCAGCCAAGCCCTGGCAGTGCTGGTGCCCTTCTCCTGCCCCAGAGACCTGTGCCCCTGGGGGGTTTCTGTGCCAG